ATGAGTCTATCTCATATATTAGTTTCACCTTTTAAGTTGCATTAGTGAAATAAATGAACTTTGCACGATATTCTAATTATTCGAGTTTCACCTGTATATATATATACTGCAAGTAAAGTTAAAAAAAAAGGTTGAGCAGCACAATGAGCAAAGATGAAAGAGAAATCATCTGAAATTTGCATCAGCAGCAGCTGAATGAGGACAGGCGCATGAACCTCGCTTAGGCCGCATTAATCACAAGAAGTACATTTAAAGTCAAACTTTTTATTTTCCCCGTTGTTAGAAAATAGATGTCTGTTCCTCCCCCCCCCCAACATTCCGGGGAAGAGGTGAGTAAACAGCGTTGCAAATTTCCCGGCGCTTAGAATTGTAAAAATCAAAGCTTTTAAAGGCTCTTTAGAGCTGAAGTTCAGCAGAGGTTCCGTAATCAGGACCGAAATGCCCCACTTATCGGAATAGGCATTGGAGAAAAGTAACTCTGAATACCAAAACGTCACCAATCAAACATATTGTGACTACGGCGGAGGCTTCGAGACGCGGGTGAAAATCTCCGCTTTTCTGTTGTGTCAAAGGCTGGAAATTAATTTTGCAACTTTTGATGGTTTGAAGGTAAATGCGCCTATTTATAAGAGGCTTCATAAAGGGCCAGTTCATGTAATTCGTCGCCGGTTACATGGAGGTACCCTCGAAATAAGTCAGCAGAGCTTCACCTTAGTTACTACGTAGCAAATGTAGCAAAGTGAACAGCCTACCCCCCTCCCCACCACCCCCGCCCAATACTTAAATTCATTCCAATCTCAGTCCACCTCGTACACACCCTTTGCACATTATTTGGCCAGCTCGCATTTCATTGAGGTCACAGACTGATGACTATTTGCATGGCAGTCAAAGGGATACAAAGTGTCACTTCTTATTTGAATATGTTCAAAGCAAATTCTTCTTCCAGGACAATTATAGCACAAAAATAAAAAGGACCATATATTATATGCAAACAGATAAACAAAGAAACATATATAATTAGGGATGTCCAGATGCCAAGAATCGTACAAGTGATAATGTTCCAGCTCTGAGACTAGACCAGGTCCAAACCAGACCAAGCACAAGTACTGATACTTGTCCAAGTCCTCACAGATACCAAGTACTGATACATGTTTGTTCGTTTTCCTTTAACAGTTTTTCTTAAAACACTACAAACTATTTATGTAGGTACAGTGGTGGAGCGCCGGGGCCCAGTCACAGCTGCAGCCTCTGCAACTTTGGCGGTTTGCGTGAAAATACCAATTATCGGCACTGGTATCTGAATATCCCTATATATAATCAAAAATATGTAGAGTATAGTTTATCTATCTATCTATCTATCTATCTATCTATCTATCTACAGTATAATCTATCTATCATCTATCTACAGTATAATCTATCTATCTATCTATCTATCTATCTATCTATCTATCTATCTATCTATCTACAGTATAATCTATCTATCATCTATCTATCTACAGTATAATCTATCTATCATCTATCTATCTATCTATCTATCTATCTATCTATCTATCTATCTACAGTATAATCTATCTATCATCTATCTATCTAATCTATCTATCTACAGTATAATCTATCTATCATCTATCTATCTACAGTATAATCTATCTATCATCTATCTATCTATCTATCTATCTATCTATCTATCTATCTATCTACAGTATAATCTATCTATCATCTATCTATCTATCTATCTATCTATCTATCTATCTATCTATCTATCTATCTATCTATCTATAGTATAATCTATCTATCTATCTATCTATCTATCTATCTATCTATCTATCTATCTATCTATCTATCTATCTATCTATCTATCTACAGTATAATCTATCTCTCTATCTATCTATCTATCTAGCTATCTATCTACAGTATAATCTATCTATCATCTATCTATCTATCTATCTATCTATCTATCTATCTATCTATCTATCTAATCTAATCTATCTATCGTAGACAAATTATGTTTGTGACTTGAAGTCCCGCATAAAGGAAGGGGGATGGGGGATTGCTGTGCATTCTGCCAAGAAGTTGGACTTGTGCCAGTAAAACTTGCACGGCACTGCCCGAAAAAAACCCATTTCAAAGTAACAATTTTTTTTAGCATCAGCAACGTTTTTCTCTCTGAGACTGAATTTTTTCTTTTCCTCTGGCTGCCTTCCATCTCACAGTCAGTACTTTGCAGGAACTCTCGCCAGTCCCAGCTGACTCAGCAACCAGAGAGAACAGCATCTCCTCCAAGAACGTGTAATCAGGTTCATGAGCCGGCGGCTCCCCTATGATGACGTCTTCCCAATGGTGGCGGCTCCCCAATGATGGCAGGTCTCCAATGATGGCAGGTCTCCAATGAAGGAGGCTCCCCACTGATGGCATATTCCCAATGATGCCAGTTCCCCCAATGATGGCAGGTCTCCATAATGATGCCAGTTCCCCCAATGATGGCGGCTCCCCAATGATGGAGGCTCCCTAATGATGCCAGTTCCCCAATGATGGTATCTTCCCAATGATGGCGTCTCCCCAGTAATGCCAGTTCCCCAATAAAGGCATCTCCCCGTGATGGCATCTCCCCAATGATGGTATCCTCCCTATGATGGCATCCTCTCAATGATGGCGGCTCCCCAATGATGGTGGCTCTCTAATGATGGCGGCTCCCAATTGATGGCGGCTCCCCAATTAATGGCGGCTCCCCAATTAATGGCGGCTCCCCTGTAATGGCGGCTCCACATTATTATTGCAGTGGGAGAGCAGTGATGATATTTCAGGCAGGTGATACACTGACACACATGTGGAATAATCAGAAGGTATCATTTGTAAATCCTGAACACTGTCATCATCATCATCATCATCATCATTTTCTGGCTGCAGTCCGTCGGCATCTTTTTTTTCGGTGCGGTTGCGATGAACATGTGCGTGTCAGACGGACATCAAATGATCGGAAACACGACCCGGAACACTGGAGACTTTGTACTGACAAATGTCACAAACATTCATGGAATGACATTTCCCTTTCTGTGCGGCTTTCTTGTCTTTGGAAATTTCTGAGCCATAAAATACACTTTGTTGGAACCATTAAGAGAGCGTGTACATGTTAATTTACTACGAGACAGAATCATTTGTAACACACACGCACACATATATATATATATATATACACTGAGTGTCCAGATTATTATGACCCCCCATCAGTACTTTGTTGGGCCACCTCGTGACTCCACGAGATGGTGAAAGGTGATGCGAGGAATCTGACACGGCACTGTTGCCCTTCTGTTGTCTAACCTGCCAATTGATTTGTATTTCTGTCCAACCAATCCTGAATTAGCACAGCTCTGCCACATAGCACAGCCTTGTCTGACAAGGCAAGAGACATGATTTTCCACTGCAGCAGTTCAGTGACACTTACAGGTCTTGTTTGTCCCCTCCCCCCAATCTGTGAAAGGAGAAAAAGCAGACTGATTAGCTCATCTCTCTGTCACTTTGCTCTCTTCTCCCATCAGCATGTTCCGTTTTACATACCTTTCATTACATCCCTTATTTTACTACTAGTAATGTTATCGCTGGGTGTCTGTGCTTTTCTAAGCAATGCAGGTAGATCATGGCAAGTGGGAAAGGCTGGCAGGGGGCTGTACGTAGCTTACTGAAAACATCACAGCACTCTTCCTCAGTACTCCTCTCAAGAGTCCTCAGTCCTGATGCAAGCAGTGGGCTGGCTTTTGGGAGGAGTTATGCAAACATCAAAGTGCCTTGATGAGTAGGTGTCAGTCTGGAGGAGTGGGCGTTCCTAGGCAGGCATCATTTGCATGCAGACCACCCTAGGTAACGCCCACATGTGATGCTGAACCTCCATGATTGAAGGAACTAAAATCCAATGAATGAAAGGGGCGGGGTCATGGGCAGTCAATAGAGCTGAATGATGCTGGACGTCCTCCAGCTGGGAAGTGAGGCGGGCTCTATCTGACTTGCTGCAGCTTCTAATGAACATTGTGAGAAGCTCCCAGTGTGCAGTGACATCGGAGGAAGCCATTCCAGCCCAGGAGAGGAGTCGGTACAACTGTGCAAGACTGAAGGGAAGGACGGAGGTCAGATAGAAGACTGAAGGGGAGGACGGAGGTCAGATATAAGACTGAAGGGGAGGACGGAGGTCAGATAGAAGACTGAAGGGAAGGACGGAGGTCAGATAGAAGACTGAAGGGAAGGACGGAGGTCAGATAGAAGACTGAAGGGGAGGACGGAGGTCAGATAGAAGACTGAAGGGAAGGGCAGAGGTCAGATAGAAGGCTGAAGGGAAGGACGGAGGTCTGATAGAAGACTGAAGGGGAGGACGGAGGTCAGATAGAAGACTGAAGGGCTCTCCAGGGCTGCGTTCGGGTCTCACCAGGGTTGCGTCCATGTCTCATCAGGGCTGCCTTTTAGTGTCACCAGGGCTGCATGTGTTGCTCTCCAGGGCTGAATGACTGGGTGTCGGGGCTCCACCAGGGCTGTACGGGCAAGTGTGGGACTTCAGGCAGCTAAAGTAATTTAAAAAAATGAAAGCGCCGGCACTATGTATCGGAGCATTTTCATGAGTACTCGGAACATGCCCTGTATCGGCACCGTTATTAGTATCGGTGCATGGGCGTGTTTATGACATTTTTGCAAAAGATGGACTATGCCTTTAAGTCACCCCTGCAGCCTCTATGCACTGGTTGCGGTTGCGATGCTCTGCAGCTATGAATCCAAAGCTATAATCAATGCAGATTTTTTTGTTTTAATAACATGGGCACGTTCATTAAATTTTTGCAAAAGCTGGACTATCCCTTTAAGGCAGCCTCCATATTTATATCCCCATCAAACACTTCACTCTCTGTCGCCTCTTTGACATATTAACGGCGTGGCTTTAGTTGTTCTTTAAATGAAAAGCCAAATCTGCTTTTCCGCGCCCCCGAACAACACATTTCATTACCGCTCCTGGAAATATTATACAGAGCCCTTCGAAGAGGAAGGGGGGAGAGAGAGGGTTTTTTTTATAAAGGATGGGATTGAGGCTGCGGGTTTATGTCATCCTTTGTAGTGGCAGGTGTATGCTACAGGGCGGCTTTAAAAAGCCTTGTGCTACAGGACTGCATTAACCAAGCCCTAAGTCAGGTACGCGGCGCGCTATTAAGTCTAAACCCTCTGGCATTTTCTTGATGCGGTTAGACATCTGCAGGCTCCGCGGACTCAGCCGCTGTCCTATCTATTAGCGCGATGACACTTTTTTTTTCTTTTTACAAAAATAAATACATTTGTCAATTTCTTTTTTTTCTTTTCCCCGCTGACCTATAATGTAACACCGTGTGTAATGGCCTTTGAAATGGTTTTACAGATTAAAGCCGGGCAAACATGATTGATTAAAATAAAGAGGGAAAAGTTCAAGAGACTGAGACATGTTTTTTCATTTATTTATTTTTATTCCCTTCTTGCGGTTGGGTGTTATTCACTGCCGCAGGAAGACGAGACCCCTGCATTGTTAAAGGTGCGGAATTCAAAGAGTGCTTCTGGTCAGGAAGGAAAATTGATGAAAGGACGACCAGAGCTCCTTAGGGCACAGGGAGATTTTGATAAAGTCCTTGTGCAGGGTGACTGGTCTTGTCTCCGCCCCCTCCTGTAATACAGGTCAGTCACTGCTGCTCTCTCCTTGTGCAGTGACTGGTCTTGTCTCCGCCCCTCCTGTAATACAGATCAGTCACTGCTGCTCTCTCCTTGTGGAGGGTGACTGGTCTTGTCTCCGCCCCCTCCTGTAATACAGATCAGTCACTGCTGCTCTCTCCTTGTGGAGGGTGACTGGTCTTGTCTCCGCCCCCTCCTGTAATAAAGACCGGTCACTGCTGCTCTCTCCTTGTGCAGGGTGACTGGTCTTGTCTCCGCCCCCTCCTGTAATACAGGTCAGTCACTGCTGCTCTCTCCTTGTGCAGGGTGACTGGTCTTGTGTCTGCCCTGTAGTTTCCTGTAAATGGGTGGGACCTGCTGGGCCCTTCAAAAAGCTCTACTATCTGTGCAGCTCATTGGTGATGTCATTAGCACCCATTTTTTGGTAATAACCTGATTAGTAAAGTCATTTGGGGCACACAAACTGGATTTGTAGCTTTGGCTTTTGAGAAGCATTGTTGCAACAGGCTGGATCTATGGCAATGTAGTACCAGCCGGCTGTTTATATTGCCCTTAGCACAAAACTGAATCCAGGCTTTCTATGTTATTTCAACCTGATTGTATTACAAATGATAGCTCAATCCCTGAAGAAGGGGAGTCCTTTTACCCTAAAACATGTTGACTGTACCAGATGTCGCCAACAATCCAGGGCTGGACAAATTCCAGGAGCCTTGTCACCATTGCTCCCTAAAAATTACAGCTGGTGCCTAACTTTTTAAGTTTTCTCTAGTTGAGGTCAATGGAGCTCCTAAAAATATCCTGCTGGCTCCTGGATTGGACAAACTGGTTCCTGGATTGGACAGACTGGTTCCTGGATTGGAGAGACTGGTTCCTGGATTGGAGAGACTGGTTCCTGGATTGGACAGACTGGCTCTTGAATTCCATATTATCCATCCCTGTTTTAAATGAATTTCAAGCTCCTAACCTACAAAGGGGAGGGACTTGGAACCAGACAACACTAACTGATCACTTGAAAGTTGGCAAACATGACATTTGTCCAAAGCTTGGTAATGGAACAGTTGAGCAGCTCCTGGGCTACCTCACTTGAAGTCAGTAACCTTATTTAACTGGCTTTGGATACTCATTGCCCTGTAAATGGCAGCTAAAGAATAGCACAGTGGAAAGCACTTGATTTCCAAAGTCAAGGTTGAAGCCCCATAGGCACTTGGCATGGGTTCCAAGCAGGACACCCCTGCATGCAGCGGGAGCAGATACAGTGTCTTTCTTTCCCTATGAAAGTGAAAACTTCGTCAACTTTAAAGCCCGTAGCGTGTTGACCACACAAGTCCCGTTTAATTGCAGGATGTGCAGATTACCACCATTAGTATATAGCAAATTAAACTTTGTTAGAAGCCTTTGTTTTAGACTTAAAGGGCCATTGTGTTCCCGCAACAGAAAAAAAAAATCAAACAGATCTCTCTCTCTCTTTTTCTCTTTCTTTAGTCCCATGAGAAATAACTGTGATGCCTTTGGTGAATAAAGCTTCACTCATGAAATCGTGTGATGAAGGCATGTTTGTTGTGTGAAAGAGATTATCGGTTGTTCTCAAGGGGCCTGTGATCCTGGGCTCCGGCCTCTTTAATTATTAATATTGTCTTTTGAATAGCGCTGTATTTTTAAGAGCCCTTTTGTAGGGCCCTTCGTCACATCAAAGCGGCAGAGCGTGCAGGCCCCCCCCTTTTTTTGGGAGCGTCATGGCGGCGGGAGCTGCCTTTGTGTATTAGTGAGTGACGGCGATGACAGTTATTAGAGATTTCTGGGATTTACCGGCTAGAGAACAAGTGCATTTTCATCAGCTTTAGTCTTCTGCAGCTCTGTGATTATTTACAATTTGTATCTACTCTGAGATTTCTGTGGGAAGTCAGGTTTTAACTTGTTATAATGCTATCTCTACTGTGAAACCTTTTTAAAGGGACTCTAGAGTCTTTATGTATGTATACAGTGGCGTAACAATCTCCATAGCGACCCAGGCGGCCGCTATGGGGCTCGGGCACAGGGGGGCCTGGCCAGGGCCGCCTGGGTCACTATGGCATTTGGGGGTGCTGGCTGTCACAGACACAGCTCAGCAGCGGCCACGGCGCATTTCCCCTCATAGCCGCTGCGGAGCTGTGTCAGTGACAGCCAGCCGCTGCGGCCGATATAATATATACATATATATACTTACTGTATATTTGAATTGTTGACAGTACAACGCTAATGCTTTGACTTGTCTACCATGAGGACTATTTTGAATTTAGATGTATGACTACTGAAGTGAATAACATTGATTATCTCCTTATAATGGCACCTGGAAGTGCTGACCAAGTACACCCCTTCATGGAAACGGTATTCCCTGATGGCAGTGGCCTCTTTCAGCAGGATAATGAGCCCGGCCACACTGCAAAAATGGTTCAGGAATGGTTTGAGGAACACAACAACAAGTTTGAGGTGTTGACTTGGCTTCCAAGTTCTCCAGATCCCAACCCAATCTATCATCTGTGGGATGTGCTGGAAAAACCACCCATGGAGATGGGACCCATGGAGGTCCCAACTCTCAACTTAGAGGACTTAAAGGATCTGCTACTGATGGCTTGGGGCCAGATTCCACAGCATACCTACCTATCCATTTTATAGCCTTACCAAAATATATTTTCTTTTCTGTGAATGGTTTGAGGAACACAACGACGAGTTTGAGGTGATGACTTGGCCTCCAAATTCTCCAGGTCTCAATCCCATCGATCACCTGTGAGATGTGCTGGAAAAACAAGTCCGATCCATGAAGGCCCCAACTCGCAACTTAAAGGATTTGCTACTATCGGCTTGGTGCCAGATACCACAGCACACCTTCAGAGGTCTAGTGGAGTCCATGACTGGACTGGTCAGGACAAGGGGTACCTGCTCAATATTAGGTGGGTGCTGATAATATTATGGCTAACCAGATATATCATTTATTTTTAAGTGGAATTACATTTTGGTTGGGCGTTCAGCATTTTCTGCACAGCATGCTTGCATATTATGACCCACTTACCTCTGGGCGTGCCCTTCTTCAGCAATGCAGCCACTCGAGTCCCACCGGTGCCATGTTATTTTCCTCTACTCCCAGGTTTGCTGTCTACTTGCTTTGCCCACTGGGCAGGCACTGATGACATGACTCCCACACATCCGGGCTGGAATTACATTGCACTCAGCACCTGGCTCCATTCCTGGCATTTACAGATGCCGGGACTGTACCCTGTACTGTGCATGCACAGAACAGTAGTGTGCATATCTTGGAAAAAATACCATGGGGGTGAGTATAACTTACACTTACCTCCTCCAAAACTTTGGGGTTCTTCTTTAAAGTTTTGAGACAACGTACTACTGCCCTGCGTTTTTGCATCAGGGTTGAGTGCCATCAAATTACATCACCTCCAGCACAGCTAGCAGTATACCCTATCCAGCTCATCGTATGACGCAGCTTCATCTGTTGGACAAAGTGGGGCAGATGGACTTTGTGGCTTTATGAATTGGAAGGATGGATGGAAGGTGCGTTTTGAAGTCTTTATTACTTGGCTGGGAAATATTCTGCATTGAAAGAGAGGGGGACGAACTCCGATTAGTTACACAGTCTGCTGCGGTGGACTGAATAGGAGCTTCCATTAGCCCGGCTACTCCCCTATTTGTGGCTGCAAGACAGCTACAGCTGTGCCAGAAGAGGTGCTCTCTATAGACGTTACTTACAATTCAGATTTGCTTCTTTCCGGAATACAAATACAGCTTTGCAATGCTGCATCTTTTTTTTTTTCTTTCATGGCACAATGAGATGGCATTGTAACCCACGACATCCATTGAAGTGCCATGTTTTATCTTTTAGACAGAAAAACTGTTTGAGAGAAACTTAAGAATGAAAGTTTGAGGCCATTGTGTTGAAGAGATGCACAGAGAACTAAAATAATAATTCTGTTTGACACAAAACATAATGGACATAATGTTGATCTTAGTTTTCATAATTTCTATCAGATATTTTACTGACCATTCCAACTTCTGTGGCTCCCCCCATCCCATAGTCCCCTCTAACAGCTGTGGATCTACCCCCTCCGAACCATTAGCCTTCTTTCACTTCTGTGGCTCTACCCCCTCCCACCCCCTGGCCCCCTCTCCAACCTCTGTGACTCTACCCCTTCCCATAGCCCCCTCTCATCTCTGTGACTTTACCCCTTCCTATCCCATAGCTGCATCTGACCTCTGTGACTGTACCCTCTCCCACACTATGGCCACCTCTCACCTCTGTGACTGTTTCCCCTTCGACCCCATAGCTGCCTCTCACCTGTGTGACTATATCTCCTCCCACCCCATGGCTCCCTCTCATTTCTGTGACACTATGCCCTCCCATTCCTTAGCACTAGCTCACCACTGTGATCCAACCCTATCATATTCTATAGCTCTCCCTCCCCTCTGTGACTCTACTACTCCCAACCCGTAGCCCCCTCTTACCTCTGTGACTATACCCACTCCTATCTCATAGCTTCCTATCACCTTTGTGACCCGACCCCATCCTATTCTATAGCCCCCTTCCCCTCACTAACTCCACCCCCTCCCAACCGATAGCTCCCTTTCACCTGTGTGACTCTACCCCCTCCCACCCCCTACCCCCCTCTCACCTCTGTGACTCTACCCTCTCCCATCCCATACCCCCCTCTCACCTCTAAAATCCATCCCCATCTTATTACATAGCCCGCTCTCCTCTTTGACTCTACTGCCAACCATCCCATAATCCCCTCTGTGACCCAACCTTATTTTTTTTATAGCCCCCCTCATCTCTATGGCTTTACCCCCTCCCAAACCATAGTCCCTTCTCACCTCTGTGGCTCTACCCCCTCCTAACCCATAGCTCTCTCTCACCTCCATTTAGCATTCGTTAAACGACCGCTGTGCCGAGCGAGCGACCCCCTGTGTTTTCATAGCAGAGGGGAAGTAGCCCGGGACAATGCCATGTAGGACCTGGAAGATAGCTGTAAAGTCCTGGAGTTGCTCTGGCTACTGCAGTGATTTACAGGATCCCCGTGGGCCGACCAGGTATAAATATTTACATCGGACCAAGCTGGACCTATGTGAATATGCATAAAAATTTATACCTGTAGTTCAGTTTTTCGGCACTCCGATACACAGAAAAGTTCCAAAAGAACGAGACACTTCCGATAGGCCAAGCCACCTCTTCCTGAAGCCCTGCAGCTCTCCGTACATGTACGGTCAGACAAGGTGCGATTTGTGAATCATCTCGAGCACTAAAGGCGCACCGTGCTAAGTCTCACCTAAGGACTATTTTTAGTTTCTGCGGACGATGTGTATGAATCGTATATAAACAAAACGCATAGTAAAACACTTCCGCATTTACATGTTTTAACAGTTACCTTCAGCATGTGACAACTGTGATCGTGTCTGAGAGTTGTGCACATGGCTGCAACCACGGGAGTAAAGATGATATAGGACCTGATGTAACCTTGTTATACAACACCACGCTGTTGTTGAATAAACCCCCCTACTAAACTGTTCTGAAAGCTGCACTCCAGGCAAACAGCTATGCGCACAGATGAGATAAATATATGGAAGCTGTTTTGTCTGCCAACTGTTTTGCATTTACATAGCTCCATAGCTCTGCCATGCAGCTTAGCCCTGTCTGGCAGGGCAGGGGATCTGATCTTTTTCTGCTGCAATTTCACTTTCACTTGCAGGTCTCCTCTCTGCCCCTACCCTGTGAAAGGAGAAGCAGCTGTCTGATAAGCTAATTTTTTGTATCTTTCTGCTCTTTCATTCTATCAGCATGCATGCCATATTGGCTTCTTGTGTTGCTTCTTCCTCCCCCAATCTCAGCTCTGCTGTACAGGGGCCGCACAAGGCTGATACTAGGCCAAATGTAGATACTGACACTGCTTTCATTTCGAGAAAATACATTTATTTATTGTGGGAGCCACTGGTGTAACTTTAGTCATAGCAGCCCAGGCAGCTTCTATGGGTCCTCAGGGTGGAAGGGGGCCCCATTAGGGTGTTGAGGCAATTTAAACATAGAACATGTAAAGATAATACTGTATTTTATTGTAACAGTACTGTATCACTAAGATTGTGAGTTAGGGATGCACCAATACTGATACTAATATCGGTGTCGGTGCCGATACCGAGTATTTGGGCGAGTACTCATACTTGCTCAAGTGCTCCAATACCTTCCCCATCATGGTAACTTCCAGTCAGAGGAAAATTTCCTCTGACCGGCAGTGCCGTATGGGAACATGGAGCCAGCTTCCCGTGCGATCAGGAAGCTGGGTGGCAAGTAATGACCCACCTACCAGCTTCCTTATTGGCCGGGAAGCCGGCTCGATGCTGATTACCCAGGAAGCCAGCTTCCCGGCCAATCAGCATCGAGCCCACTATCCGACTAATCAGGAAGCTGGGAGGTGGGTCATTAGTCGCCGCCCGGCTTCCTGATTGTCCGGGAAGCCGGCTCGATGCTGATTGGCTGAAAAGCCGGTTTCCCGGGCAAGCACAATTAAGCCGCCCAGACAACATGGATCAGATCAGATTGCCCGGGAAGCCGGCTCCATGCCAGCTGAAGCACCGGTATCGGTACTCGGTATCGACGAGTGCCGAAAGCAAAATATCGGTACTCGATACCGAAAAAACGGTATTGGTGCATCCCTAGTTGGAGTGGTTGCAGGTGCAACAACCCTAATCCCCTATAAAGTCTACAGTGTAGAGAAGACTTCAGATGCACAAGAGGAGTCTTCAGGATCTTGGCTTCGTTACTGACAGCATTGAGGGAGGTCATCAGGGGGGCCCCCATCACATTTTTGCTATGGGGCCCCTTGATCTGTAGTTACAGCCCTGGTAGGAGCTGAATTCATTTCCATCTTTTATATCTGTCCAGAGTTCAGGTTCACTTTTACCCCATCAATTGCTGCACTTCTGACTTTCTCCATGTTTACTACAAAAGGTGTTGGAGATGATAACGCTGACGGAAGCAAAGACCGCAAATTTGCGGTGCATGCAGGAGATAATTAATCTTTGAGATCTGGGAGCCCCGTACATTTCCCCGGGTCCGCGGAGCGCCAGCGAGTGGAGGATGTTAAG